GGCAAACCTGCAGGTGACACGTCCTGAGACTCGTGGACGATAATGACCACAATTGGTGAATCCTGTAATGCCTAGGGCCTGTAAACCAGAATACTTTTGAAAACTACCTAATTTCTTAAGTATATTTTTGTTTTTAGTATCTGTAGGTTTTGGGGACCTCTTAAGCTTTCCAGCTATGTGATGTGACTTACTAGGAAAGTAGTTTTACCCCTTGCCTAAAAAAACATTTGAACTACTGTCCAGCTTTTATGAAATCTGCTTAAGATTATTGATGTTTTTTGACGGCCTGATTATGAGATGGAGGGCATATAGTTTGTAAAGTGGTATATTTCTGAAAATTCAACATTGACAGATAAGCCAGTCTTTTGTGGGCGCCTATGTGCTATTTTATCCCTCCAAGCACTTTTACAGTCAGTTCAGTTCACCAAACGCTTGAGCGATGCATCAGTAGATGAAGCGCGCACACTCAGCACTCACATACACACCCTGTACCTAAACTGGAAAACTCCATCATCCAAGCCTCTTGTATCCTTTGGAGCAGTCTGGTAGATAGAGAGAGGCCTCACTCAGCCCTTCAAGGAAGGACTTGATCCGGGGTGTTAGCTCCTTCATGCCTCTGCGCAGAGCCGGCTGGCCCTGCCCTGTCCTTCCCAGCCAGTATAAAGGCCTGGCCTGCAAGCCCCTGCGAGACCCTCTGGCAATACTTGTTACAGTTCTCTGCCAGGTTGGTGCTGGCCTCATAGGGTCTAATCACAGTTCACGGCCTCTCTGCCAGTCCTGCTTCCTCCTCTTCCTCTCGTAGGTGCCCACGCCGGGTCTCAGCATCTGCTCTGGGGAGCCCTGCGTGGGGCCAGCATGTCTGCTGTTGCTGGTCAGCATGTGACCTGTCCTTTAAGACATTTTCATGATGTGTTTGCTTTTAACATTTCCTTTTAAACTTAGTGTTAGGCTCCTTTGCTGTATTAGTTATAATTGTTTTAAGTATATAGGTATGAGTCTTTCTAGGGGATATTAAAAACACAAGGTCATCCTCTTTAAACTTGGCCAGTTAAGTAGATAAGGATGTGTGAATTTTTGAGAATCTCAGATCAACTATGTATGAATTTTGGGTACTTGGTAGGGACAACTAGAAAAAGGAAATGGGCAGAGAAGAAAGAACAAAGCACATAACAGGAATAGATGATTTTGCTAATTTTTCAGCATCTTCTGAATATAAGCTGAGGTCTGTTGTGGCACAAAGTTGCCATGTGTAGAACTGGACACCAAAAGTGTATAATTAAATAAACTTGACATTTTAACATGAAAAGGTTGTATTTGATCTCATAGATTATCTGTGAATCTTGGTAGAGTGAGATTCATAATTGGAATCAGAAGTGTAATACAAAGAAGAGAAGAGACTATGTAAAGAACATGTTTGGTGTACTTATGCACAGGGGAATGGAGGTATTGTAGAGAAAAATACACATTGACTATTTGATGTATTTTAACTTGACTATAGGATAAGTGGCATCTTGACTTTATTCTTTATATTCTGATATTTTCAATGTTTATCTTAGTTTTAAAAAAGGCTTTTAAACAAAATTGGGCTTTCTTAAATTTTGAAATATTTGAATAGATTCAATACTGATACAATTACGACTGACTTGTTAATTCTTTAAAACTGTCAGCTCTTAATTGGAGCTGTTTGAGTTTCTTAGTTCAATAAGTAGGTAATTGGTAAATCTGTTTCTCCTTAATGACTTTTACAGGGTTTCACTGTTTATTAACACCTTAAAAATAAAGTTCAGACTAGGGTGTAAGGGCTTGAGAACCCAGAGACCTGGCTTGTGGTCCTGCTACTTTGTAGCATTATAATCTTGTCAAGTTTGATTGCTTCTTTGAATCAGTTTCTTCATCTGAAAAAGAAAGGGCCAGAACTATCTTTAAGGTTAACCTCTAATCCTCTGTGACTGTATTTACCTCTTAAGAACAAATGCTTTTGGTATACAAATGCATGGCACATAAAATTTTCAGTTTACGGGTAGGTTATATACTAAAAGTTTTTATGTGTTAGCTTCTTAGGACACCTTATTCCATGATTGTAGTATTATGAAAGTAGACCATGTCTGTTTTGATTTACTATTAATGGTGCATAACCAGGGCCTAGGACAGTGCCTGGTATGCAGTAGTTTCCTACTAAATATTTGTTAAATAAATATAAATGGTCACTAAAATTCTATAATTCTCATAAGCTTATTTAAACACTATGTTAAGATATATATACGTTTGCAATGATCAGACTAATATATAAAACATTACTAAATGAAATGGCAAGAAATAAATTTTAGCCTAAAGTCTAATGTTTGAAGGAAAAAGTTTAGAAGAAACAAGATAGAATTTTGTGGAGATTCTAAAGGGGAATTTTGAACAAGTTCAGATGCTTGATGATACTGGTATTTTATTATTTTTAAATACTTTAAAAACTTACAGCTTTTTAATTCCTTAATTTACTCTTTCATTTATTCATGTAAAACATTTGTTGAGCTGTGGACCAGGCTCTGCACTAGACTCCCAAGATGATATGGAGAGCAAATGAGATGGTCTCTGTGCCTGTGGATCTTTCACATCAGTGAAGTGAGAGAGTTAACAGTAAATTAACAAGCATGGGATAATGACCTAGAATAAGCATTAAGGAGGGAAAGTCCCATGCAATGGGTGAACCTGAACCTCTTCTGGGACTTCTGATAAGTCTCATCTGAAGTATGACTGGAAGGCAACTTGGTGAAGAAGGAGGGGAACATTTCAGGCAGAAGCAGCAGCAAATACAAAGATCCCCAGGAGTGGAAAGGAGAAGGGGGTAGGGGGAGGAGTCTGTGGATTAAGGGGACAGTTTTGTAGGAGGCAAATGGAGAGAGAGAGAGAGAGAGAGAGAGAGAGAAGGGTCTGATCATGAGAGAGAGAGAGAAGGGTCTGGTCATGCTATATTAAGGATTTCTCTGCTTCAGACTCGACCTCGGCTCCTCGTTGCTCTCAGGCTGACAACATCTTAGGATGAGAAGTTCAGACTGGACTGTCGGGAATGGGTGTGGGATGGTACACACGGGTGGGAGGTACGGGGTCTCGTTCAGACTACTCAAACAGTGGTTCAGGTAAGACATGATGATGACTACTGGAGGAGGCAGTGGAGGTGAGTGAATAGATTTGCAATGACCTTGAAAGTTAAAATCAGTAGCACTTGAATGTGAAAGATGAGGCATCAGAATAATTGCTAGGATTCTGATATGTGGATACATGTGGCGTTGCCACTTACTGAGATGGATGGCACTGATAGAGAATGGCATTTGGGGGACATTTTTTTCAGTTGCTGGTAGAAATCAGAAAAGAGGAAAAAGAAAAAGGAGTAAAAGAGCATGTAGAGGGGTATGAGAAAGCTTATCCAAGATAGAATTAATTGAACTGTGAGTATGGAGAATTTAAGTGATAATTTCTCCTTAAGGAGAAATTAAATAAGTGATGGGGAAAAGGAGGGTAGGTTTAAATAGTTGATGCTGTCAGGTGACACTGTCAGTCCGGAACACTGCTGTCAAGCAGGGTGTTGGTGTGAACCTCCTAAGGTTGGTGAAAGGAAGGGCAGACTGAAGCTTTACATAGGGAACATTTGCAGAGTGGTTGCTGAGTTGTTAGTTTCTTAAAACTTGAGAGAATCCTTATGTTAGATATTTTTATATTTCACATTTGAATGTATCTATTTGAACGTATGAAATAAAATACTTTCAGGATCGGGGATGGTGTTGTGGCTTCATAACATATGAAGTCCCAGAGCTCAGAATATAAGTATTGGAGATGATGTAGGTTTCGGTAGTTCAGACTTAATCCATAAACATGACTGTACAGTAAGGTCTTTAAATGCGCCTTAGGTTACACAGAGCTCTATGATGCCATTGAGGATACGGGATGCACTGAAGTGGTTGATGAGGAAACTCAGACTTGGATTTGCAGGCCTTAACAACCTGTCCTTAGTGTTCCAGATCTCATTTAATTCCCAACAAAATTTGTTTTATGAAGCCATTAAAATAATTCAGTGTTTCTGGGTTTGCATCAGAGATACTTGTTTAAAACCTTACGTTTGGTGTGGTGTACGTAGTCCTTAAAGTATGTCTGTAATACTGTACAGTGAGAAGTACTGATTTAATACAATATTGAATACCTCAGATCATTTATTTATGAATCCAAGATCCTGAAGCATTATAAATTGTATTTTACAGCAGCTTCATATACTTAGAAATAATAGCCATTATCATCTGTTAAGCATTTACTATGTGTTAAATATTTTATATACATTATCTTATTTAAACCCTACAACAACCATTTGAGGAAAGTGGTTTGCCCCCATTTTGCAGACTAGGAAGTTGAGGCTTAGAGAAGTTGAGTAATTTACCCAAGACCACATACCTACCTAGTAGGTATGGAGCCGAGCTTCAAACCCAGGTCTTTCTAAACTCAGAGTACATTTTAAATCTTGATAATTCTTGCCAGATTCCCTCCTGCAAAGGGAAGTGCCCATTCCCCTTCATCTTCAGCCTCACCAAAATTTGCATTCTTGCTGAGTACTTAGTGAAAAGTTACCCAAATTCACAGATTACTAGTGAGATTGAATGGTTTTCCTATTTATTAACTGTTTGTGTTTCTGAGAATTATGCCCATTTTTCTTAGAGTTTGTCTTTCTAATTGTCATATAGGTAAAATGGTACGTTTTGATTACTTTAGAAGGCAAAGAAAGGCAAGAGAGTTAGTTGTGCTTATGCAAAGTTTTACCCAGCTTTTCTCATAAGTGCTAATAGTCATAATGATTTTGAACAAAATATTTAAATAAGCATATTTTTATACACAGACCATATGATTAATGTGTGTTTCTACATAGAGAAATGATCTCTGGATTAGAGGGTCCCTGCTAATAATGCCTACACACTGAATATTTGTCAGTAGAGAGAATTCATTAATTCCCGTTATTTCTTCTTTAGGTTTGCCTGCAATGAGATTTCATTCTCTACCTTTAAAGGACGTCCTTTCTGAGCTGCTGTGAATAAATTTGGAATGGTACTGTATATTTTCATCTAATGGAGAACTAGCTGTATTTTGAATAAGGATTGCTGCGCTGGACGACTTTAGAACATCCTTCACAATGTCGTCAACCAGGAGCCAGAACCCGCATGGCCTGAAGCAGATCGGCCTGGACCAGATCTGGGACGACCTCAGAGCTGGCATTCAGCAGGTGTACACCCGACAGAGCATGGCGAAGTCCAGATACATGGAGCTCTACACGTATCCTCCTGCCTGAGTGCAGGTTGATTTGCTTAGAATTTTGATTATTTACTAGTATGATCTATGAAGTATAAGAAATTTTCCATCATGTTTTTTCTTCCCAGTTCATCCTGTTATGTAATCAGAGTTCACTTTTAGCTTTAAGTTTTTTGAACACAGTAAAATTGGTTCATAAGTGGTCTAATGCAGCAGCGCTGGCCGATACAGCCACTAGTCACATGTGGCTGTTTGCATTTAAAATAATCTAAAAGTTCAGTTCCTTAGTCACAGTAGCTGTATTTCAAGTGCTCAGAAGTCAGATAATAGAATATTTGTGTCATTGTAGAAAGAAATTCTTTTGGACAAAAATTCAGTTCCTTAATTGCAGTAGCTATATTGCTAAGTACTCAATATTCAGATAATAGGATATTTGTGTCAGTTGTGGAAAGTTCTGTTGGACAGTGCTGCTGGTCTAAAGCAGGGGATCATTTGTTTATCGTCCTTTCGTTTATATATTGTCTATGGCTGCTTTTGTGATATGGGAACAGAGTTGAGTAGTTGTATTAGAAGCAGTCTGGCCCACAAAGCCTAAAATATTTCTTATCTGCTCCTTCATAGGAAAAGTTTGTTGACCTGGTTGATCTAAAGGGGATAGGACATAGAGCAAAAGTTTTACCATTATGGCCCTGTTTTACAGATATGGTATGAAAAAAGCATTTCACTCGTTTATTTCACTCAGGTCCATGATATGTCTGAGGGACTGTGCTGTATGCTGCAAAGGTCATGAGAGTATGAGGTATCGCTCCTGCTATTCATATACTCAGAGACGTACGGTTCAATTTGTAGAGTTTCTTTATTCCATACAAATGTAAAATTGAAATTAGAGCTAAGATAACTCTGAGCAGATTGCTACTGACTCTAGGACTTTAAAGTTGCTGCTAGTTCAATGAAGCTTTAGGTTTAAATCTGTAGTATTCATCAGTGATTATCAAACTAGGTTATGTTATTCCAGCATGTCCTCAAATATGTTAATATTTTAGGATCCTAAGAAAATTAACATTAAATAGATATGAAACGATATAAATTAACTTAAAATTTGTTGTATTAATATTGTATTAATATGTACATATATTATTCATATTTGTATATACACTTACATGCAGAACACTTTTTTTTTTTTAAGAGTCAGATTTCATCCAGGATGGAGTACAGTGGCTCCATCATAGCTCATTGTAAACTTGCACCCCTGGGCTCAAGCAATCTCCTGCCTCAGCCTCCTGAGTAGCTTGGACTATAGGTACATGCCACCACGCCTGGCTAATTTGTTTTATTTTTTTGTGGAGACGGGGTTCCACTATGTTGTGCAGGCTGGTTTTGAACTCCTGGCCTCAAGCGATCCTCCCACCTTGGCCTCTCAAAGCGCTGGGATTATGGGCATGAGCTACCTCACCTGGCCTACAGAACATTTTTTAAAAAATTAACAGCTTTTTTGAGATATAATTCACCCTTTGTAAAGTATATAATGCAGCAGTTTTCAGTATATTTAGAGTTTTGCAACCATCACCGTTAATTTTAGAAAACTTCATCATCCCAAAAAGATACCTTGTATCCATTAACAGTCACTCCCCTTCCCCCCAGTCCCTTTCAACCACTAATCTACTTTCTGTCTCTACGTATTTGCCTATTCTAGACATTTTGTACAAATGGAACCACGCAGTATGGCCTCCATGTCTGACTTCTTTCACTGAGCATGTTTTCAAGCTTTATCCTCTTCGTAGCATGTATCAATATGTATTTTATTCCTTTCTGTGACTGAATTGTGTGGATATTCTACATTTTGTTTATGCATTCATTGGTGGTGGACATTTGGGTATTTCCACTTTTGGCTACTATGAATACTGTTAAGAACATCATGTATGAGTTTTTATGTGGCTGTATGTTTTCACTTCTCTAGGGTATATACCTAGGAGCGGAATTGCCAAGTCATAATATGTAGAACACTTTTAAGAAAGACAGAGTCTTTGCCAAGTGAGAGGATATTATTAATATTCTATCCAACAAGGTTATGGCTTGCTAGGTGTGACATTTTTTAAATTCTTGTAAGTAGTAAAGCTGAAGATGGTGAATCCAGTGGTAAGAGAAGACACTTAGTTGGATTTCTGGTATGCAGAGAAACAGGAGAGCACTACCATGGAGACCAAGGAGATTTCATTGCCGATCTCTTTCTAGGGAATTTCTTAATATGTCATTTTTGACAAAATCAGATTAGTCCTTTGGTAGAATGTTTTTGCTTGTAGGACTACGACAAAGTAGAGACTCTGTATGCTTGCAGAAATTACTGAGTTTTTTTAATTCTATAAATAATTCTTTTTTTTTTTTTTTGAAACAGAGTCTCATTCTTTTGCCCAGGCTAGAGTGCTATAAATAATTCTTATAATTTATAGTTCTGGTACCTATAACTTTGATTTTTTTAGGACTGCCTCTCTTAAATTGGGTAGTATTTTTTTCCTTCCACTTTTGTCTGAGAAGATAACAGATTCATATATTAAAATTGGAGACTCTAAACTGAGTCTAAAATATCTTTAATACTTCAGATATTATTTATGAAATAATAGCTACAGTTTGAGTCCTGTGCGTCAGGCATTGTACTGAGAACCATTGCCATTTTTTAAGTCTTATCCCAGCCCTGACAGTTGGTGGTAGGAACCTCCTCTATTGATGTCGGGAACCAGGTGTCCAAAGCTCAAGGAACTCGCCTCACTGTTATAGCAGTCAGTGGTAAGTGATGATGCCAGTGCTAAAATTCTTAGCAGTCTGAAGGTAGAAGCTGCCTTTAGTCATTATACATCCTTTAGCTATTATATTTGTATGGATCACATTCCTCAAAGTATTAAATTTCTGTATTTTCCTTATGAGGTTTCAAAGAAAAGTATTTTGATCAATTCTTCAATATGTTAGGATAGAGGCAAAACAGTAGAATGTATACTTGTGTTTATTTTAATTATTAAAAATCATAAAATTAAGGGGGGGGCAAGGGCAACATACATAACCTAAACTTCTGTACCCCCATAATATGCTGAAAAAAAAATCATAAAATTATACCCCCCATTCTTCATGAGCATTTTCAATATCAGTGTTATTGGAAGAACTTTGAGTCATCTGCCATGTTTTTCTGGAGCCATCTTCACTTTGTTTAAGCCATTTAAGATATAGGACTTTGTGAACCTACGTATATGTTGCCATTACTTTAGTTTTACCTGAGCCCCAGGTTGCATAATGGAACAGTTTTTCAAGAAGTGTTCTATTAGTGGTGTATGTTGGATCTCCTGCATAACCACTTATTGTATTGCATTTTAAAACAATCCCCTAACGGCTTGTTCACTGTGACATCTAACGTTTGCAGTTGTGAGGTTATGTTTCAGGTTAGGAGGTGCTTTAGGTGCAGGGAAGAAGGAGCTGGCAGTGCTTCTCACTGTTGTAGTATCATTGCAGAATTAGACATGCCTCATCAGCAGCTGGTGAAGGAAATGGGTTGGAAAGGAAAGCTGGGTGAGAGAAAAAGGAGGAATCCTTGTCCTTCCCATGACTTTGGCTAGTAGCTGACAGCTGGAATTTTACCCCTTGTCTATCCTGGAGAAGCATATGTGTTTCTGGAGAAAGCAACCTAACTCTGGATGTAAAATAAATATTCTTAGAGCCTTTAGGAACCTCTGGCATTTGTGGTTGCTGTAACAGGAAGATGTGTTATTATACAGCATAAACATTTTTCTTGATTTTTCAATTCAAAATGGCAAAAGTGAGAAGATAATTTGGGGAAAGGAAAAAAAAGGCCCAGAGCATCTGCAAACAGGAAGATCTAGTTCAATTAACTTTGTTTTCAGTCACTTCTCAAAGGTTTCTGATTTTTTTCTTCTAAAGTTTTAGCCTTAAGCCCTTGCTCCCCACTGTCTGTCAGTTCAGCACTTTCAACTCTTCACTTCTACTTTTCTTTGATGTTTTACATATGTATAGTTATAATGCAACAACTTTTTTTTTTTTTGCTGTAAGATACAGGAGTACATTCCATGTAGGTAGGTGAATAATAGTAGATGTCCTTCCTTTTGAATTAGGAATAGGTGTTGAAATTTCTTACTCAGCTTAGTGTCAGCATTATATTTCAGGTGCTGTGCTTGGCTTGGTTCTGACTAGAGGAGAGGCATTTAAGGGGATGCAGCGAAGTGTAGGGGTCCAGCCCCGCAAGTTAAGGTGTCAGGTCATCTGTCGGAGGTTTCCGTTCGTTTTGCTGGGCCCCAGATCTATCTACCTGTCCCTTGGTTCCAGGTCAAAAATTTTTTTTTTTTGCACTTGTCATGCACCTCAGATCCATTAATTTTGGCTTCCTTTGGGATCAGTTTAAGCTTTTGTGGTGATGGCTTTCTCTTTTATTTCTTTCTACCTGAATTCTCATAAACTTTGAAGTTTCTGGTTTTCTCCCTGTATTGCTATGAACTGAATTAGTTTATTCTGTTTTCTTAGCCTGTTGTTTCCAAAGTCGTCTTTTTCCCCACGAGGACCATACCATAAGGATCTCATTCATGTTTCCTAGTCTTGGCTGCCTGTCTCTCAGTCATAACATGAGCATATTCATAATTAATATTTGTCCCTCTGTTCTGATGTTCTGTGATACGATTCATGATTGCTGGGGGTAGGGGCACTTTTTCACCCGGAGTCAATCTGCTGAGCTCTTGGCAGCCTGCAGCATATGCTTTGCAGGGACAGCATGCCAGGACACGCTGGTCCCTGCTGCCGCCCAGCATTTGCCAGTTGTGCAGTCCCGTCACGGCTGCCACCACCACTCTGCTCAGGTCTGCACGTTCTGCCCCTTTTATTCTGCAGGAGCTGGGAGTGCAGGGGGCATGTTCAGGTGGCAGCCTTCCTACTTAGCCTGCCTGCTGCAAAATTCTGTCCTCTTCAAAAGCCAAAATCTCATAGGAAAGCAGATCAAACAGAAGGCCTAACAAATTGTTTTCAAAATAGATCAA